TGCCATCAGACACAAGACGCTCAACTTTACCTTTTGAGATATGACCCAAGCGCTTATATCATAATATCGCCAAATTCTCCTTATTTAATTTACGCTTAGTACCACGTGATTCCACGTGCAATGATTCATTATAAGCAGCAATTATATCAAGCAAATATAGGTTGTCATAAATACTCAAGTAACCGGTTCCCACAATATTTGAATTAAAAGATAAACAGAATTGATTGTTTCCGAATGAACAATGATAACCTGATTTGTCCAATACAGAAACAGAAACAAATTTCGTCTAAAAGACGGTACTACAAAAGTATCTTTTAAGTCTAAATAAGAACCAGTTCCTAATAGTAACCTAAAAATGCCCAATTGCTTCCACATCTACCGATTGACCGTCGCCCACAAAGATGTGTCTTTCAACATCACTTGGCTTTCGGTAGCTCAGGTAACCCTGCATAGAAACACTTATATAAGTAGTAGCACCAGAGTCTAACCATCAAGTGTTTCTAGGTACTAAAGCTAAATTAACCTCAAAACAGACCAAAGTAAGGAACTACCCTTATTAGCACGCCAGGCGTAATATTTGGTACAATCATTCTTTACGTGTCCAGGCTTATTACAGAAGAAACAACCCTGATTATCCTTATGTTGTTTCTTCTGAACTGGACCCTTAGCAGCTTTATTATGATTATCCTTATGTTGTTTCTTCTGAACTGGACCCTTAGCAGCTTTATTATCATTCTTTATTTTCTTGCTCTTATCCTTAGAGACATAAGCCAAATGAGCACTTTCTGTCTTATCTTGTTTCAACCTGTCTTCTTCTTACACACAGTATAAAATGAGCTCATTTAGAGTCTATTTCTCATTTTGGCAGTTATAACTGACCTTGAACTGACTGAACTGTGCAGGAAGAGACAACAAAACCAGATGTACTAATAACTCATCACAAAGATCAAGTTTAAGCGCCTTAAGTTTCGAAACAATATGAGACATTTTCGTAATATACTCCCTGATATTTCCTTTGTCCTTATACTTCATTGAAATCAAACGAGCTAAAAGCGTGCTTGTTTCTACCTTATCGTTTTTTCGCAAAACGCTTCTCAAATTCTGTAAGGAAATCTTTGGTCTTAGTAATCCCTTCGGATTCTATGCCCCTGAAGGCTTCCGGAACGTCGCGCTTAATGATCATTAGACTCATGCGATTTGAATGCTCCCACTTCTCATACTCCTTCTTAATATCAGGAGAGCTATCCGCATTGAGAGGTTGGGGTTGTTCAGTTCTTAATGCAAGGTCTAGATCCATGCAGCCAAGAACAACTAATATGTTCTCTTTTCAAACCTTAAAATTTGTCCCATTGAGCATGAGAATTGAGTTGATGTTAGTAGAAATTGTTACAGTAGATGCATTAGCTGAAATAAACAAAAGATACTCACATTGTTAACCGTAATCAATAAAATTTAAATAATGACAAATCTCATCTCAAGATATCTGTCACAACATTAATATCAAGTCCTTGGACAGTAATATTAACTTGTAAGTGATGCATTGTTGTAATGATCAAATATTGATAATAACTCATATCAAATAATGAAACTATCTTTGGATCGATTCATTATTCATATGTAAACCTTATAATTATCACATGTTTATCATCGTAGATGTGTATGCAGTCTAAATAAATATTAACCTTCCTTTGGGCCGATTAAATATTTACACTAAAACATACACACAAACATCTCACATTCCTCATGAACAATCTACACAAGAGATGTTACTTTAGCAACTTCTTGTTTCAATTAAACAATTAGAGTGAGAGACAACCTTAATACCTTAGTATCATAATATTTGAATTAAATAATTAATTAACTACCAAATTAAAATTAAATTAAATTAAATTAATTTAAATTTCCATAGCTTAAATAGGGCCTGATTGCTTAATTAGTTAAATTAAGCATACTAAAATTGGGCCCAAAACCAAATAGAGTTAAGTGGGTTGTGCCCTAACTCAAATTGTCTGCAGCCTTCTTCTTTCACCCGACGGAAAAGAAAAACAATAGAACGAATGCGGTGTTCGTTTGAGAACGAACGCGGGGTTTGTTTGAAGTGAGCAAGAGACTTGCCTGAGGATGAACGCGGGGTTCGACATGAGAACTAACGCGAGGTTCGACTTGAGAATGAACGCGAGGTTCGACTTGAGAACGAACGCGAGGTTCGACTTGAGAACGAACACAGGGTTCGTTTGAAGCTTTCAAGCCTCGCCAAAAAATTAAGGTAACCACCTCCTTAATGTTCGCACGTTTTCACCCGCACGAACCCCTTTAGGTTTTAATCTGAAACCGCCGCCGCTATTGCTCCCGCACCCAAAGGTCGAAACCTTAGGGTTTCCTAACGCGGCCATCGCCATCGGAGTCGAGAGTGAGGCCTCCAGCGACACTTCGCCGACGAGGAGCACATGGACCGACGACCAAACAAAAATAGATCCAAAAAATTCCTCGATTTTATTTCAAAACCAGATCCAGAATTAGAAAAAAACAAAGGATGACTTCTTGATCCATATCCCAAAAAATCAAAGAAAAAAATCCAAAAAATGTAAAAACTTTACCATTCACTAAACTTTACTGTTCATCCGTGAACAGTTCTGAGAAAAACCAGAGATTTAAGATAAAAAATCTAATTTTAAAACTTAAACCCCTAAGAATTAATCACGGGTGGCTCTGATACCACTTGTTAGATCTAAATATTTGAGATCTAATCCATAAAACCATGATTAATTCAAAGAGAATAAACAACAACAATGAGAGTGGAAGCTTATACCTGAATCCATTGTTTGGATTTGCACGGATCTGAATTAGGGTTTGATCTTCTAATCTTGAGGGTCTCTCCTTTTGAATCTCTTTAGATGGGGATTAAGAGAATAGAGAATGTAACCCTAGATTAGGGACCATAACCCCTTATTTATAGTTGTTGTACTTTTACAATTTGGCCCCTCATCAAATTATAATTACAACCTGGTATCCGCACATTTAGTCCATGACATATTTAAATACCCATTGACCCAATTACCTGATTGATCACTTTATACGTGTTAACTGAAAGATAGCAACACACACTGATATAACATATGTGCCCACAAATAGATTTAATTAGATTTAAATCCAATACTTTGATGTGACTTTAAATGAAGAATGATGACAGAGGAAAAGAATGATGATGGGGCAAAGGAGGATGGAAGTGGAGGTAGAGGAAGGAGGAAGGAGCAGGAGAGAGGAGGTGCATAGGCAGAGGTGTAAGAGGAAAAAGAGATAAGTATGACAAAAATATAGATGGATGAAGAGGAGACCTAGGAGGAAGAGAGAGTATGGAATAGGTGGCCAGAGGCGGAGGCAGAAGAGGAAAAGAGGAGAGAGCATAAAGAAGTTTGAGGAGGAGTATCTAGTTCAGGCGGAGGTGGAGAAGGGAGGAGGGCAGTGGTGGAGAGAAGCAAAGAGAAGAGAACCTGGAGAGGGCGGAGAGACGAGAGATTGAAGATGAAGGTATTTGGCGTGGTCAATGAGGGTTTTCCAACAAGAAACTGGTCAAAGGGTAAGGAAGAACAAAAAGTTTAAAAAGGGGTCACAAAGCAATTTCCCTTAAATCTTTCATATTTTGGAATTAGTAGCTCATTTTTTTTATTTTGTTTTTGGTAGTTGAAAGGGGCTGTAGACCCCCAAAAAAAAAAACAGAAAAAAAAAGAAAGAAAAAAGAGAAAAGAAAGATAAATTAAAGACAACAGAAAGGTGGAGTAGGTCCCCCTTGCAAATCACTTCAGATCACATTGAGGTGCTAATGCTCATAAATTGTTTCAATATCAAATTATTGAAATTGATATTAAGTCAAATTCTAAAAAATTGCTAGTAAGTCCTTCAATTTATAATCCCTCCGATCAAGAGCAGCAATAATAAGGTACTAAGATATAGGACTTGGGGATCTAATAGCAATTTTAATGATGCGAGGAACTAATTTTATAATAATTAAACTACTATAAGTTAAGCAGATAAGCGTACGAGATGCATGTATTTTTCTGTCTCTATGCCCTTTGGTGCTCATCAGATTGTTAAGAGTTCATTCTTAACACTTATTTTTGCCTACATATGTACTCATAACGTCGAATATGTGCTCGTAAAGTAATAAAGGCAATTAGACATCAATCTATCTAAATCATCATTATCTTTATTTTTGGATGAATTTTAGAAAACTATATCGAATTTATTACAGGCTTTACGTGAAAACCCACTATAATTAATATACGGTAGTGTGCGTTTCCTACGTGATAAAATCATATCCTTAAACAAAGATCAAATTGAATCCTGGGGATCTTAAATTTGTCAATTTTAGGTTATTATTGCTCAAAGAGGACAACAGATATTATTAACCTCATTTTGAGTCGATTTTTAATTTCTGCATATGTTACTTACTGAACTGAAAATTTACTAAAATATTCCTGAGAAACAAAAACTGTAGTTGAGGGGAGGGAATATGGATGTAACTGAGGGGAGGGAATATGGAATTAACAGCGTAAAGTTCAGTGGAGTTTCGTGAAATTAACCCTTCAATGAATATGGAATCCTTATGTTATTTGTACATATACCCCTAAATCATGGATATTTGCAAAATTCCCTCCAAATCTTAGCATTTGCAAAGCTAACCCTCAGATTATCAACTTTGTTAAAAAAAGTACACCTAGACTCAACAAATTATCAATCGAGCGCTAAAATTTTGACTCCTTCATTGTCACTTTTACATTGTGATTACAATTTATCTTATCAAAGTTGATGATTAATTGATTTAAGGGTAAATTTTTCCAAAATTGATAACTTGAGGGGTAGTTTCACAGATACTGAGATTTGGGGAGTATATTCGCAAATACCCATGATTTAAGGGGTGTATATGCAATAACCCTAAAAACAAACTCAATCTCAAACACTAAGTGCAATCAAATATCACAAGTGCGACGATAAACAAGCAATTAGTGAATAGCCCTTTGTCGGACTTGAAATTAGATAAAAGAGCCCCAACTCTTGATGTAACTGAATAGCCTCACATCTGCAATGGGCATAGCCATGCTCAAGTTCATATAACAGCTTAATACATTGGAATCATTTATTTCCCACCTACAAAGCGCAATTCGCACAAATGGAACCGCGCATGTCACAAACTACGACAAATCTGTAGCCAACTGAGTGAAGAATTACTCGAATGCGAGCCTTTGAGTATCGACAAGAGATGCATATTGACCTTTTCCGGTTAACAGCTCAGAGTGAGTGCCAAGTTCTGCAATTTTTCCCTCTGAACACAATGCAATTTGATGAGCATTTTGAACAGTGCTTAACCTATGAGCAATCACCAGCGATGTCCTGTTCTTCATTAAATGGTCCAATGCTTCTTGGACCAGGCGCTCGCTGACTGCATCAAGAGCACTAGTTGCCTGCAGACGAGCATAATGCAGCAAATGGTTAAGAGAACAGCAATGGCTTACATGATCAGAATGAGAATCATTTTGGGTTTTACGTATATATACCCTTAAATCATACGTATTTGCAGAATAATCACCCAAAACTTAGTATTTACAAAACTACCTCCACGTCATCAATTTTGGCCCCTAAAATCAACAAATTCATCAACTTTGACAAGGCTAGGCTAAATCTGTAACTGCCATGTAAAACTATCAACAAAATAACCTAATTTTTACTCACCTACCCAACAAAGTTGATGATTGTAGACTTAGGTGGTATTTTTTTGGAAATTGAAGATTTGAGCAGTAGTTTTGAAAATACACATGATTTAAGATGTATACATGCAAAAAAAAAAATGATGTTATCTTTGGGATTCATCGATCTAGAATAGACCCCAGAAAACCAATGTGGACGCATGCTGTCTCATGCTTGGTTCCATTATTATGGATCCAAAAACATGTGCATGGATCAGTATGTAGCGAGTCTACATCAAGGAATTACCTCGTCTAGTATCAAAATTGGAGCATTTTTAAGAATAGCTCGTGCAATAGCAATTCTCTACAGATAAGAAAGAATCAGGTTAGCATCGGTTCCCTTTATAGTCAATTTAGCAACCGCATTTTTACTCCTTACCTGTCTCTGTCCACCGCTGAGGAGACTACCACGTTCACCAACTAACGTATCATACCCCTTTAACATACATAAAACTTCAGAAAATGTGATGATAGAAGAAAAACATTAAGGATTCAGAAAACTTATACTGACCTGAGGTAGGGAGATTATGAATTCATGAGCATTGGCTGCTTTGGCTGCTTTTATTATGTCTTCTTTAGAGACATTCTCATCAGGAAGCCCATACGCAATATTTTCACCCACCGAAACGGAAAAAAGGACTGGCTCCTGCAACAATATAGAAATTGACCAGCTAGTTCATGCGTAATTTTTTGTGTGTAAAGGAATGAAAACTTCTATGGGATAAGTTACCCATCTATATTTTTCCAGTCCACAGAATTAAAACTAGCTAAATCACCAAGAAATATACATTTAGGTACCGGTTGGTATAATTAGAGAACAAAACTAAGGCAAAGGGAAGCTGAGAGTAAAACAACTTAGTTTATAAAATAATTCGTTGAGGTTTTGAAAACAAAAAGACATGTAAATGAGCAAAACTTCATTTTTAACATCCTCCCAACCTCTATGGCTCTATCAAATTAGGAGCTGACTGCAACTAAGGTAAGGTAATGGATTGAGCAATAAAAGAATTGTGCAATCCATTTAACATACTAACTAACCTAATAAACTTAAGAAAACAGAAATAATCACTTCTTCCTCCACCCTTTTTCTTCTGTCAAAATGACAATAAGAAACCTCACAATATAAGGAGAGGCTAGCCTTAGGTTGGCGAAGACAAAAATCTGAGTAAATAATGAAAGATATGGAACCCAAGAATTGGAAGAATTGAACATGAGAATATTGAAGGACAATTCCCATCCTTGCCCGATGGCCTAAAGTTAAATGCCTAACTGTTTAGAGTGGAGAGGAAAATGTGTTTGCCTCTCCATTCTTCAATAGCCTAATGAGAGATGACAGTAATCTCATCCAGAAAAAAAGGAATCATGAATAGAATGCTTACAATATATATACCTAATGCGCATAAACAAATAGCAAAAAACATTATGATCGCAGAAACAATTATCAAAGCTTATACATGCGTAGACTTTTAAATTCTAATAGCAGAAATATGTGAATCAAAAGAATTTTATTTTTACAGTGAAAAAAATCTAAACAAGTGGAAAAGACATTTCATTATAATCATGCAAAAACAAAATACCTGATTCACCAAGGACACAAAACGAGCCCATTCCCTTTTGTCAAATGTCCGGACATCCTCCCCAGCTACAGTTATACGACCTTTAGTTGGCTGCAAATTTTATCTGATGATTTTTAGTGCTAAAAGGAGATAAAAATGGCTGGTTTTCACCGTAAAACTAATTTAACCTCATAGAAGCGTGCCAAAAGTTGTACAATAGTGCTTTTACCAGCACCACTAGGTCCTACAAGTGCTGTTATTTTTCCACATTTGAGTGTCAAACTTAAGCCATTCAAGACACCTACATCCGACCTCAAAGGATATGAGAAGTGTACATCTGTATATCAGAAGTGAAATGCATGAGTTAGCAATTCCATAACGATCAACTATAAACAAATAAACATTCATCAAAACTTCCAGAGAAACTTGAGATGTCGAAAGGAATAAGCTTAGTAAAAAGCATGTAAAGATAAATATTTTAATTCTCTAAATAAACAAAAACATAAAGATGATGAAACAGACAAATGTTATGAGATTTGACATTTACAACAAAAGTTCAAATATCCAGAGGAACAAAACTAACAAGATTCAATAAAAGATAGCTTTTGGATGCATATCCACTAAAAATATATGTTTGAGTATGATCATGAAAAAATTATTTTAAAGGGAAAATTATCTGTAGGCAAGTTCTTCCACAGCGTAACAAAAATATGAAAGATTAATCTTGCATCCCTAAAATAACAAGGTTGTGTTTGAGTAAGTATTTACAGTCCCAATTGCCGTCATAGTTTAATAAAAGTAAAGATTAAGCTTGTATCACTGGAAATGTTTTACATGAAAATAAGCATTTTTTGTAGTTTAATATGTCAATAGAGTGACCAGTAGTTTCATCTAGCATCCAACCACCCAAGCAGTGAGCAGTTCAAGGTTAAATTTTCAGTCACATGGTTAATGTGAAAATTTAGTTTCATAGCTGCCACTAAGAGCATCCAGGTATTCAAATAAATAATGTGTCAATAGTGCAAAAAATATATGTAGAAAACCATTTAAAATTAATGAAGAAATCCAGATCCCAAAAAGGATAAAGAAGTATCATGCTTGAATGTACATGCAGTTCTGACGCACTGGAGCAATCTATTAAATGAAACTCAATGGCAGACTTTGACACTGAGAATTTCAAACACCCCAAGTGGTTATAATTAATGCATCAATTAACTATACTGAACCCTCTCTTTTTCTTAATAATAAAGCATGATATATATGTTTTGTGTATAACAGTAAGACATGTGGCCAAAAGTTAAATAGAATCTTTAAAGGTCGAACAGAGCTCCAGAAGTAACCCAATGTCCAAATTATTAATAATCACCACACTGGATATTTTTTGACACATGGGATCTTGGCTTCTATAAGTACAACAAACAAGTAGAACAGGACATAGCAGAACAAAAATACAAAAGTAATTCTAAATTTACCAGACTATGACATAGAAGTGATACTTACAAAAAGAATGCATATTAGTCCTTGACTAATTTCCTATACTCCAGAATTCAACTCCTTTATGAATTCTATAAGTAAATATCAGTCTTGTGCACATTTTACGAAAGATACGTTAACAGTGCAACAGAAATATGAAAAGATCAATAACCTTTGAGAAGCCTGTTGCACTTATGAATAACCATACAACCTAAGAGGCCACCAGACATCTTCTGTTTTGGTTCTACCACACAACCCAAGACGCCAACAGACATTTGGTACCCAATTTCCATTGCACATATGTTAACACATCCTTCATCGGATTATGAATCTTATATCTGAAGATTCTGAACATGATAATTTTCTCATACTCTAATCGAGGACAATGTTCCCTAGCTAGATATATCTGAATAAAAAGCATATTGACAGAGAGGAAAAAATGCATAACACAAGAACATTTACAAACACACTGAATAGACATTATAAATCAAAATGAATAATCCACAATATGTAAGGTAAAACATAATAACTATTAATTATTATGAACGCACCAAATACAATTTAAGTTATCAAATTAGGATAAATGACCAGTGACATATTTTTTTAGTTATCAAGCATGTGTCATATACAAGTTATGCCTGCCAAGGTGTCTGCCATGAACATATCTTATTTCCACGAGGACTATAGGTCTAATTCTGGTCTATCTCAAAATCCATTAGTAGTGGATATATCTCTAACGTGCTTACCGTTCAGATAATGAACATACTTAGAAACGACAATAACTACAATATAAAGATACTATTGAGGTATATTGTCAAAAATATTATTGAGATAATTGAGCACCCCCACACCATGTAATATACAGGAGGCAAAGAAAAAATAGTAACTGTATAAAAAAAAGACTTGCAGATGTCAAAACTCCGGGTAAAGAATCATATCTACCTTCAAGACAAATGTCACCAGACCAAGCTAGACTGCACCAATCATTAGCTGATCTCAATGCTGACATGTACCGCCTATTAAGAGCTTGGTGTTGCTCTCCATTTTTATAAACCGGACCAATGTTATCATCTTGTATTTCCTTTGTCTGGAGCTCTTTGTCTAAACCATAAGCGAGTGACTCATCAATATCGATTGCTGATAAAGCAGAATTGATACGTTCAACAGCAGCAAGCGTTCCTCGAATATCACCAAGGGTATTGACACCCCCTTGGACCTGCACTTTTGAAATCACAATGAAGAAAAAAATGATCTTGCAAAGTGCACAAAGACAGCAGTGATGTTTAACTGACAGTAGATTAAAAAAAAGGTTTCTTACCGCAAAGGTTAAAGTAAATGTGTAACCAATAAATGAGGTCATGATTCCAACTGCTAGTTCACCCTGCATTAACATGCCATAAGATAGAATTCTGACAGTACGATTTAAGCATTGCAAACTATAAAACCTCACAATGCATCAAAATATGCAAAAACCAATGCAAGTAACAAATATAAAGAATTCTTGGCAGATAATTTAAGAAGTTAAGTGTAAGTGAAAAACTGCATTAGAATCATTATGTGTTAAGTGTAACATCAAAATGTCAAAAGCCTTGTTGAAAATGCTGGGCCTAGATTCACAGGGTAATACTGGGCCTAGATTCAAAGGGTATCTTTCTATTATATAAAATGTATAATTAAACAAAAGAGAACAAAAACAGGGAATTTTGTAATTCATCATCAGTCATCACACATGGACTAAAAGTTTCTACTAAGTGATGTTTGGTTTGTTGGAAGTAGTCACAGCGAATTGCATACACTCTATACGCACTCAGCGGGCAGCTTTCAGAAAAGAAGTGGATAAACATGGTTCCAATATATAAGGTCCCAAAAGGAATTTTAGTTTACATATATACAATGTGGAGGCCCTTACCGACTTCACTTTGCTTCCACCTAGACAATAAAGGGCCAATAAAGAAATGTAGACCACAACTCTAGTCAATGATTCATTTGCAGACTTCAATATTCCAAGTTTTATGCCACTATTCTGGTACGCAGCCACCTGCAGGAATCATCAAAAAGTTGGTGTCTTGCAGCATGTACAAATAAAAAAAATACAAGCAATCAAAAGTGACAAATCAGGACGCTCCGGGACAATCAATAATTGAAAAGAAGGATGGCTGCTAAAGTAACATACAAGATTTCTAAGAAGGCAATAGCATTAAGCTATGGCCATACTGTTCTACAAGGGTCGCAATCAAATTTTCAATTAGACATAAAATATGTGAAAATTTTGCAATTTCCCATGAACAAGATCCATAGATTAACTTATCAATCATTCTACAGCAATAGTAATCAAGAAGAAAATCAAAATATTCTAATACAATATACCAGCAGTTCCAAACATAACTGTTTCTAAACGGAATTTCATGTTTTACAGAAATCGCCACAAAACAAATGAAATGGCTCCATCTCCAGTCACCCAACTTAAAAACATACTTCAGAGGGATTAAAACTCCCAAAAGGTAGGGGAAGGTACAAATTTGCAGTTCTTTCTGGCACATGAAACATATTTCATTTTCAACTTCAGACAGCACCCGAATTCGCTCTTTATGGGACAGTACAGATTTCCAGTTCTTTACAACACTTGAACCATATTTCATTTCAACTTCTGAGAGCTCCCGGACTTGCTCTTTATGTTATGAGTTGAGAAATTTTTATTGATTAAGAGATGAACAAATCAATGGGTAATTCTTCTGTTGCTCCTCTAGTATGAATTAATTTCCTCGTGTATTTAGATATATACTGAAAATTTTAAAACCTACGTAACGCAGACACTTCTATCAGGAAATTGCGGTGTGCCGGACATGTGTATCATGTGTATCTTTAAGCAACAGCATATTATGTTTGCTTTAAAATAAATTTTCTGATACAAGATTATGTCATCATCAGCATGACAAGCTCATGCAACATAGTTTAAAACAAATGAAGTGTGACAGTAAGTCCCTTTTGTCGATGGCAGAATGAGCTCAGTTCTTGTAGTAATAAAATAACATCATCACTAGAATACTGTTTGCTCCTCCCAGATACAACAGGATTAATCTATCAATATCATTTACAGTGATGATCTCACAAAACATGCAATTAAAAGACTTACCAATTTTTCAAACATAGAAACTTGGCGCTTTTCACCAGCGAAAGATCTGACCTGTATAGAAGATAAATGTAAAAACCGAAGAATTCATCTGTCAATAAAAAATGTTGAGATTTTTAAATAAGCAGTTATATGAGTTGGAAAACAAAAAAAAAATTGCAAGAAAAAAAAGAAAGGTTTAAAAAATGAGAAAACTTACAGTACGAATGGCTCCAAAAGTCTCAGTTGCACAATCAGCTATGCTGGCTAGAGCCATTCCATGAGACTTAAATACCGGAACAGTTGACCTCTTGAATATAGCTAACAAGAATATGTTGTGTTAGTACATGGAAAGGTTAAATCTAAAAAGGAATATTTCGTTATGTCAAAGTAATTCTTTCAAGATCACTTGAATATTCACTGCAATGAACTACATATATCAAATTGCTAATCCAGAACAAAATTGATGATTCACAGAATGTTACATGCAAAGCAGTCCAATTTCTGGAAGACTGGAACAGCTTATACTGAGAAAGTGATGCAGATATAAGAAAAATCATTAGGAGAAAATATGATAACATGCTTCAATAGATGAGCAGAAGTGAAACGGGTTAAGAGTGCATCAAATATGAATTATCACTATTCTTCTTGTGTGGGACTGCTTGAACTATCTCTAACTCAATCTCCCACATATTCCCTGAGCAGAGTGATTCAATGAATGAGTTTAATTTAATTTAATTATATGTAGAGGCATTAGCCTTATGAATTTGTGTATTGTGAGAGAGGAGATTGTCCGTTCACTTCCAGGTATTCCATCAGAACAAAAGAAGTAAAAAAAAAAAATAGTTTTCTGCAGAATGGATGTGTATGATAACTCTTGTTGAATTATTATGCAAAAATATATAAATCAACAAATAGTTCATCAGATGAGTAAATCTTTAGTCCCCTGAAACTAGATTAAGCATATAATCACCATTATATCATTCTGGTATAAGAAATCATACTTCCTAGGTATAGCTCCATATGGGCATAGTCAGGGTTAAGAAAGTAAATACAAATAGCATGTTCCACATCGTACTGCTTATAATAATAATTGGGTATATGACAGTGGCGGATGCAGGATTTATGGAAAATCGTGTCACTACATAATTAATAAAAAAACTTTACAAGTGTCACAACGAGTTTTCATACTTTTAAAAAACTACATAATCACATTATTAATAACACTACAAAATACATAATCGTACTTTAGTAACACAACTATAAGGTATATAGCCTATGATATTGAAGGCCTTTTGGTCTAGCATATCCCCGCATATATGGTTGATGGTTCTCAGTTATTGATGATTCCATGTGATGATCAAAGCTTATCATCATGGTACAGTTGCATAGACCACTTGCGATATTCAGTTAGACCTTAGGAAAATCTCAACATAAGCCTTTGAAATTTTGATATACATAAGGAACTCCTTGGCGGAAGTAATGTCACGTGACACCACTTCCACCAAGGTAGATCCGCCCCTGGTATATGATAGGTCTGGGAATATGGACCATAACATAAAACCAATCTGGATGTTAAACAGGTTTTAAGGGTTATACTCGTTATACTCACCTGTACCACTTCCCAAATGGGGCATAGATGTTCGAAGTCACACAATTGTTTCTCCACCGGACCTAGGGATTTTGCATATAGATAGCATCTTCTTCAATGCCTGGCCCAACGAAGTCTTAAAGCATCAAATACTTCAGCCTGTACTGCTGCAGATTCAGATATCCTTCCTATTCAACTTCTCAATTTTACATTTTACTTGCTGTCTTTTCCTTTTGCTTCAAATACCTTTCCATACATGGTACAGTAGTCAATAAGAAGTTTCACGGATTATGAAACTATGGTTAGTTGTACCTGAAACTCAACCTACTCGTTTAGTTTACATATGTTCTATATGTATGCTTGCTACAGCATAAGTATTTCTTGGTTTTTGAATCATAAATTTTTTTTATTCATACATGAACTTGGAACATTCTATATGTTTTGCCAAAAACATTATTGTGATGTCCTGAATCCTGACCTGCAAACTATTTCACTACCTACCGTATAGTACCAGAGACAGGCCTTTTCCAGAGACAGAACGAGCAGAATGACTGCTCAGGACCACAGACTAAACTTTATAAATATGTACTTTACATGTTTGGGTATTAATGTTACATAAGAGGCTGTCGCATTGGTGTAACGAAACTGGCAATCATGCCATGTTGAGGACTCTAGGCTTGGGGTTTACAAGCTGTGAGTATTCTTATATTTCCCCTTTGGGTTAGTCACATCTCCATCTATCTTTGGACATTGTCTTAGTTCAATAGTTTAAGACCCAAACCACATAAATCTTTATCTTTTTATTTTTCTAATCTTATGCATCTCCAGTTTGTTGAAATCAGTAACAAGCATTCTGTCAACCAAAAGCACATCAAATCTCAAAACACAGAAAAGCAAATAGAACAAACACAGGCAAATCTTTATCTTTTTATTTTTCTAATTTTATGCATCTCCAGTTTGTTGAAATCCATAGATATAGTGACAAGCATTCTGTCAACCAAAAGCACATCAAATCTCAAAACACAGAAAAGCAAATAGAACACACACAGGCATAAAAAAAATCTTGAGATAAATGTGAGGCAATTAATGCAGGATAAGGGGAGCCCCAAAAATGAATTGAACTATCTAAAGACTTTGTATGGTACCTGCAACAACAAAAGTATCGTCTTTTTCAGAGCTCTCAAATACTACCGCATCAGATTCATATACATCATAACTATCATGTAAATAAAGGGATAGAAGACAGAGATGACATCAAGATGAAAGCCATAATAATTTTCGCAAAGGACAGAAATAGTTTAACATGCAATGAGGTGCGCATGGAAGTTATTCAGATCATTACCTACTAAAACTGATACAGACAGCATTAACAGACCGAGAACAGGAGCTAATTGTGTTGACAGCGAGAAAAGTATGCATATTGTACCAACAACCTGCATCAAAGGAGTAGTAAACATTTCTAGTTTAAAAAATGAAGTTAAAAACTGTTGATAGACTAGAAGTGGCATTAAGTGTTAAGACAAAAAGCATAAGACCAAACAATGGTCAAAATATGTTAAGGAGTTTGACAACACAAGGACATAGCACTGGTTGACGTAGGGAAAAAACCCAGAAGCTTAAATACAATGAACTCAGTCAAATTATAAATTATAAACCTGTAGTCAAACTGTTGGCATGATCAAGCTGACATGGACAAGAATGTAAAGTAGCTTGCCTCAGAGAGTGCTCTAAGCCCACGATCCCTTGAAATGTTTTCGCTGACAACATCTTTGAGAGAACCCAAGTCTGATGTCAATAAACCAGTTAATTCACCAACCTGCACAATATCAGAAGCATGCATAATGCAAACTGGTACAAACAGTGGGTGTAATCCAATGGTACTTGAGTAATGATTGGTAAATGCTACCAACATACTAAAAGATCTACGCAAGTGGCATGATTAGAAATGCTTACGTCGAGCACATCAACTAAATTGTTGGCAACCAAATTAAGGACAAAAAATGAATTCTGTTACTATATTTTTTTGAAATAAAAAGACTTTTGCTTTATAAAACAAAATATAAATATAGGTCTTGTTAATTTGCAGAAAAACAAAAGGCTTGTCTAATAGCACAATATGATAGGACAGATTTCATGAGGGATGCCTAGAAAAGATCCAAAGAAAGCAATATGAAGATGGCTCCAAATCTGAACTTGCTTCAATATATCAAGAGACGGGAAGTCTGTCGGATCTATTATCGGTCATAGGGGTCAAGTTGAACGCCTAGCAATTTCAAATTTACATTTTAAGCTTTCTAAAATTGCAATTTCCCCTATGGTTTTAAAAATTGGCACCCCAATTTGCATTGAGTAGCCCATTTGAATTTACTTATATGACATTAAACAAATTACTTGTCGTCCACTCCACTAAGAAAGTTTTTGATGCAGGCCAGATCAGATCTATGAATTTAAAGGATTTTATAATTTTTTAATTGAGATATTTTGTTAGGATGAAGTTATTATTTAGTTATTGGAGTTGTTAATTTGTTAGGATCAAATATTTGTTGTTATCCAACAATTGGGAGTTTATTTGTTATTAGAATTTTCTTCGGTAAGTTTAGTTCTATAAATAAGGTTGTATTTGTTCATTTGGGAGATGAAAAATTGATGAATAAAACTTGAGATTTGAGAGATGATTTCCAGTGACTCGATTGGAGTGAAGCAATGATTTTTTATTAGGCGTCCATGTGTGAAACCGGTCTTTTCCATTGTTTTCAGAGGTTAGACGCTATGAGTGAATCCGGTCTAATCCATTTATCTTTTATTTTTCTTTATTTGGTCTTTTATTACTACAAAAAAAAGAGACAGTTCACCCAAACACTATTCATCATCACCTCCGTTGCGCATGAGTTTTTCTAGATCCATTGAACGGGAAGGGTATAAACATACATCTATCTATACTACTTATAAATGAGAATATGGGTGTCAACTTTTGATTTCGTGCTTCCCCCTCTCAATGTTTATAATTGGAGAAAAAAATCTCCCCGAGTAGGAATCGAATATATGACTAGTCAGTTAATAGCCGATGCTATGCTCAGTATCTCTAACTAATCCTTCACTAATTTCCCATAACCACTTATTAATTATGCATCTCCTACCCAAAACCTTTGGCCATTTACTAGTATATAATTAATAATTTATAATAATAAGAACAACTATAATATAGGTTATACTTTATTATAAATAATTAATTATAACAAAATAGTAGAAAAATATTTATTAAATAAATTATAATAATTATTATAGTTATCAATAATAGTATAACTATTAATATTAATAATTTATAATAATAAGAACAACTATAATATAAGTTATAATTTATTATAAATAATCAATTATAACAAAATAGTAGAAAAATATTTATTAAATAAATTATAATAATTATAATAATTATCAATAATAGTATAACTATTAACACTTTAATAATAGTATGATAAAACAATACACTATTAAATACCATTAAGAATTACAATACTCTTTAATAAATAGTATAAATATTTAATAATATAAATAGTATAACTATAAACAAATTACTTGTCGTCCACTCCACTAAGAAAGTTTTTGATGCAGGCCAGATCAGATCTATGAATTTAAAGGATTTTATAATTTTTTAATTGAGATATTTTGTTAGGATGAAGTTATTATTTAGTTATTGGAGTTGTTAATTTGTTAGGATCAAATATTTGTTGTTATCCAACAATTGGGAGTTTATTTGTTATTAGAATTTTCTTCGGTAAGTTTAGTTCTATAAATAAGGTTGTATTTGTTCATTTGGGAGATGAAAAATTGATGAATAAAACTTGAGATTTGAGAGATGATTTCCAGTGACTCGATTGGAGTGAAGCAATGATTTTTTATTAGGCGTCCATGTGTGAAACCGGTCTTTTCCATTGTTTTCAGAGGTTAGACGCTATGAGTGAATCCGGTCTAATCCATTTATCTTTTATTTTTCTTTATTTGGTCTTTTATTACTACAAAAAAAAGAGACAGTTCACCCAAACACTATTCATCATCACCTCCGTTGCGCATGAGTTTTTCTAGATCCATTGAACGGGAAGGGTATAAACATACATCTATCTATACTACTTATAAATGAGAATATGGGTGTCAACTTTTGATTTCGTGCTTCCCCCTCTCAATGTTTATAATTGGAGAAAAAAATCTCCCCGAGTAGGAATCGAATATATGACTAGTCAGTTAATAGCCGATGCTATGCTCAGTATCTCTAACTAATCCTTCACTAATTTCCCATAACCACTTATTAATTATGCATCTCCTACCCAAAACCTTTGGCCATTTACTAGTATATAATTAATAATTTATAATAATAAGAACAACTATAATATAGGTTATACTTTATTATAAATAATTAATTATAACAAAATAGTAGAAAAATATTTATTAAATAAATTATAATAATTATTATAGTTATCAATAATAGTATAACTATTAATATTAATAATTTATAATAATAAGAACAACTATAATATAAGTTATAATTTATTATAAATAATCAATTATAACAAAATAGTAGAAAAATATTTATTAAATAAATTATAATAATTATAATAATTATCAATAATAGTATAACTATTAACACTTTAATAATAGTATGATAAAACAATACACTATTAAATACCATTAAGAATTACAATACTCTTTAATAAATAGTATAAATATTTAATAATATAAATAGTATAACTATTTATATAAGTATTAATTATATTAATAAATATGCTATTATTCAATAATTATACAATTAAATAAATTATTTAAAAATAATATAATAAACTAATTTATTAGATTACTGTAAAACTTAATATGTTTCTTTATAGTTGTTAATAATACTATAATTATTCTATGCATAATTACTATAAATAAAAAT